AGGGCGGCAAAAAAGCCAGAGCCGGCCCTGGCTTCCCATCCTCTCACCTCCCTGCTAGAGCTGCTCAGAAAACAGAACTTCCATCCTGCAGGAGATTCTTTTCTTTTTACTGCGGTGAAGCTATGAAATAGCCAAAGTTTGCGGGCAAAGAAAAGTTTAGGAAAAAAAAATTTATTTGGAAATGTCAAAATGAAATGTGTTCCTGTTGATTATCCCAACAGAAATTTGAAAAGGAGTTGAAATCAGCATTTCCTCACAGAAAACTTCATTTCTGATTGAACTATATATTTTGATAGGAAAAACCAATCAGCTCTCCTCCTTCCCCTTGTCAGCTACAGCACCCACATTTAGATCTCCCCATAGCTGAGAGGTTCAGCCAGAAATTCACCCACGGCTGGAAGCCATCACAGCGGCCCCTGCCCTGCACAGAGAAGCAAGATGCTGCTTCTTGGGCAGTAGCTCCAGGGCACTTTAGAGGGTTAGCTCCTGTCCCACAGATGGGGAATTTTCCATCCCAGCCCAATGCACCCATTCTTAAAACCAAGCCCATATTAACTGGGCCTAGTAGCTTTTAACCCAGTCACACCTGTGTTTTTAGTGTGTCTCCTCCCCCTGATCTATCAGAGGAATCCCTGAAAATCTCCTACCTGTTCCAGCTCCTCTGCAGCCATTTCCCTTCTCCTGGCAGAATTAAGTGATTTGGAGCAGAACACGAATGTTATTCTGCAGCCTGTCAGGGTGAGAAGGGCAATTGGGGAGGTTTCAGAAAGGGCTTTGGTCCTTTTCATACCCCACTTCCCCCAGACTCTCTCCCTGCATATGCTTTACATTCTGCCTTTCAGTACACAAGCCCTAAACCTTCTCAGTGGTTACTGAAGGAGGCAAACTAAAGAAAGGGAACAAAGATAGAGCCTGCACACAGAAGCCTGTGCAATTAGGGTTTGTCTATACAGGATAATTCAGGAAAAATAATCTGAATTAACTAAGGGTGTGAATTTAAAACAGATTAATTAAAATGCATTAAACTCTTAAATAAATCTAAATAAAAAAAAATTAAAATTAAATGTTGACATCTTTATTTAGAATTTAAGTCACCCAATGTGAATTAAACTAAACTGAATTAAGGCCACTTTAATCTGAATGCAAATGTCCATACAGGGGTTTAATGCTATTTAATTATTCTGTTTTAAATTCATAACTTTTAGTTAATTTGGATTAAATTTCCTGAGTGTTCCCATGTAGACAAATCCTTTTTGTGGTGTAATGGCTAGGAATCACTATGGTCTTTTCTCTGCTTTGCTACTAACCACAACTGTAAGTTTGCACAAATTCCTTTCCTTCTGTTTCCCCTCCCACCCTTTGTCTGTCTTGTGCATAGATTATAAACACTTAGAATCATAGAATATCAGGGTCACTTCAGTGACTCTCTCTAACCATTTGTGCAGCAGATAGCCAAATGAGGACCTGCTCTCAGCATCTCCAGGTGCTACTACATCACCATAACTGGTACTCGATGAAATGCTTGTAGTGTCCTTTTCCACGGTATCTACCAATTAACATAACGAGATGCCTCCTGACACTGTCCTGAGGGCAGCACCTTCCCCCAACAGCGCGAGGCAGGAACTGGCTTTTCCTCTCCCTGCTCACCTTCTCCCTAGGAAAGTCAATCTGCCCTGGGGTGCTGCAGGGAATGGGGCTGGGCAGGGCTGGGAGCCGGGACCTCCCTCCCCACTGATTGCTCCTGCTGCCCCTGCCAGTCTCTCCCCATGTCTCCCTCCCTTCCCCTCGGGCTTAGGGTGACTAGATGTCCCGATTTTATAGGGACAGTCCTGATTTTTGGGTCTTTTTCTTATATAGGTTCTTATTACCCCCCACCCCCATCCCAATTTTTCACATTTGCTGTCTGGTCACCCTACTCGGGCTGGGAGACTCGGTCCCTGGCCCGGCCCGGGGCGTTCGCTCTCCGGGAGCTGGTTCGGCTCCTGCAGGTGCTCAGGGGAGCAGAGCTGGGGGGGGAGGTCAGGGAGGACAGCAGCTCTGGGACTCGCCCCCCCGGGAGCAGAGCTGGGGCGAGGAGGGGCCATTGGTGCAGAGTCACTTTCCTGCCCGGCCCCAGCCCTTTCCCCCGGGTCTCTCCCCTCACCTGCAGGCTCGGGCTTAGGGGCTGGTGTCGGCAGAGCCCAGAGCTGCCCCATGGGCTGGGTCCAGCCACCGCAGAAAGTCCCCCCCTAAGTTGAGCACAGAGGGCGGTTAATGCAGATCTCTTCCCGAGCAGCTGAGCCGATCAATTGAATTCAGGTTCCAGGCTTCCTTCTGGGTCTTAATAGATGCATCAGCTGCAGCGTCTGACCCAGGAAGCTCAACCCTGGTAGAGAGAGCACAGCCGCCTCCCCTTTCAATAGTAAACAGTCAATAGAACTATGCTTGGGAGAATTCAAGTTTTATTTTTATAATTTGAACCGATATTGATTTTAAGCATATTTATTTAATTTTTCAGAGTTGTGGGAAGTTGGAGGGGAGTCAGATAATAGTTTTTTCTTAATGACAGGTGTGATTCAAAAATTTTTGTTATAAGCATCGAAACACAACTTTGCAACATCATGTCAAAATATACAAAGTAAATTGCCTTAAATCAAACTCTAATAAGTTCTCAAGCAGTATTTTTCTTACTTTGCCTATCTATAAATTTAGATGATTATTGATGGAAATGTTTTATTGTTGGCTTGTCTGTACAGCAAAATTGATGGTTATTGACATTTATCGATAAAAATCCTATTCTTTCAAGCCTAAATATAACCAAACAGTCAGGGTTTCAAGGAAAATCATACAACATTTTCCCCATTTTACAAATGCATTCATATTTAATTAATTTGGAAGCCAGCAAAACATCCACCCATTGTGAACCCATTGGACTCAAGTAGTTCTATAACAAAATCTAAAGCAGTGACTATGCCAGGTGAAGTCTTGAGGGGTTGCAGATGTCTGATAGGTTTATTGTGGGGCTTTTTGGTGTGGGCACAAAGGCACAATATGGAGCATATGTGAGGTCACCAGACGATAGATGCGCAGCACAGCTAGTTCCGGCTCAAACATACCATATATGTATGTCAGAACAGAATGTTTGCCCCTGGTTGTAGCGTGACTGGGCACAGTGTCTGTTTGTTTTCAAAACACATCACTGTAGTTGCTGTATTTGGACAGAAGTCAAGGACCATACTCAGTGGATAGCTCTGCCTGGCCAGCTACCCCTGGCATGCAACCACCGAGGAACTAGTGCCCACTGCCCATTTCCTGGGGTCAAGCAGTGCTGCGGGCAGAATTCTGAGAAAAGTTCAACTGTTAGTTCAGCCCAGCAGATAAGGGAGTTGTGGAGGGCCAGCCATGAAATACCAAGGACCACACTGAAGCGTGGGGGAATGTATGGGTCTCTCAATACTCTTGGAACAGTTTCCATGGAAACTGGCCCGGAGAAAGAGCACCCGCGTGATTGCCTCTGCCAGATCAAGAACAGGCTTGAGCCACAAAGGAATCTATAGTGCCCAAGTTGCTTCAGTTTTGATAAAGATGTCCACTGTACCTGAGTCAATGAAGAAGCACTTGGAGATGCCCCAGGATTTGTGACTCAGCTGGTATTCATAGGTGTGGTGCCAGCCAGCCAGTCTACATTTATTGATCATCAAGTCCCAAAATGTACTTTTTTGGGTTTTCCCAGAGTGGGTGTTTAGGTGCATGAGCAGAGAAATGATCTTATTCATGGGGAATGGAGATTTTTTTGAGGATAGTGGGCTGCCAAGTTTGATGGTTTGGAGTTCACCCAGGCCAGTAAGGGATTCAGTCACTGTTTCCCTTGTAACCGTGGATGTCTTGTGGCTCTGTAGCTTTGGTCCAGAGCTCTGCCCCTCTCAACAGCCTGCCAGCAGCCCATAAGCTTCACCCTGGCTTTGTCCAACCCAGTTATTCCTTGCAGACTGACCTCAGTACCCTTCCAGCCCTGAGTTCACCCCAAAACCATCCTACAGCAGGGACCAGTCCCTGCCACTGAACCCTCAGAAAGAGTTAGGTTCTCTGCCCTTAGAGGCCAAGTAAAACACTCCATCCTGTCTGCTTTCTAGAAGCACACACTTTACTGAACTTACACAACAGTGATGATTTAGAATGAAAGCAAAACAAACTTCTTAACAAAAGAACATAGATTAAGTGATACCAAGTAAAAGGGATAAAGTCGGAAACAGTTACAAGCAAATAAAAGTGAAAATTCATCTAAAAGACTATAACTTAACCTAGCAAGATACAGTCTTTGTTGAAGATGGTTTCCATTCCCCGCCAGTCTCCCTTCCAGCTTTTACTGGCCAATAACGTCTGAGCTCACACTGAAACTTTTCCCACAGTCCTTAGGTTTGCAAGGTCGCGCTCCTGTGTGGATTCTCTGATGTGTACTAAGGTTTGAGCGGTGTGTGAAGCTTTTTCCACAGTGTCGACACTTATAGGGTTTCTCTCCTGTATGGATTCTCTGATGGCCCAGAAGGTATGAGTGGTGTGTGAAGCTTTTCCCACAGTGTTGACACTGGTAGGGCTTCTCTCCCGTATGGATTCGCTGATGGGTAAGAAGGTTTGCGGTGCAACTGAAACACTTTGCACAGTCAGGGCATTTAAAGGGCTTTTCTTCCCTGTGGGTTCCCTCATGTCTAGCAAGGTGCGAACTCTGACGGAAGCTTTTCCCACAGTTAGGACACGTATAGGGTCTCTCCCCCGTGTGAGTTTTCTGATGTTTTATCAGGGTGGAGCTCAGAGTGAAGCTTTTCCCACAGTTGAGGCATTTATAGGGTTTATCTCCGGTGTGGATTCTATTGTGTCTATCAAGTTCCGATTTATAAGCAAAACTTTTTCCACAGTCAGTGCATTTCTTGGATTTTCCTGCTCTGCAGATTCTCTGCTGACTAATAACATGTGAAATGCTATTGTAGCTTTCCCCTGAGTCACCAAGTGTCTTTGGTCCCTTTCCCAAGTGGGTCGCCTGACAGATTGGGATGCCTTTGAGACTTCTCCCACGGTGACTGGATTTACCCTGTGTCTCCCCAGAGAGGTTTCTCTGCAGCCGCTCTGGCCTGAGCTGTGTCTGACAGGCTTCTCCCTGCTCAGAAGTCTCGGAAACATCCCCTTCTGATCTTCCTGATACCGTCCCCTGTGGAACCACTTGCTCAGGACCTTCCTGCTGAGAATTCGCCTCCTTGTTCTCATTCACTGTCCCATCACCTGCTGGGACAGAGAGAGAATCCGGACAGGGAACCTCAGAAAGGGGAATGTGGAGAACAAACCCAAATAACTGCTGGGGAGGGGACCAATTTTACCTTTACACCCCATCCAAACACTCAGGGGGACGGAGCTAGTGCCAAGCGTCAGTCAGGGTGGGTGGGAAGCCATGAGTGACATCTGGCAAAAGGATATGGATGGGCTGGGGATAGTCATGTCCTGGGTGAAATGAGGCAGAACTGGGGCAGCTCACAGGGCCTCAGTGGGAATCCCAACTGTTTTGTTCACCCCTCAATGGTTTCCTGAGTCAGTTTATCTGATTCCTCACCTATGCAGGTTCCTGTCAGCATGTCCCTTTTCTCAGAGCCCTGGAGATCCAGGACCCATGACACCTCTCCTCGTTCTAGCTGTGAGATCAAGTCAGGTTTAGGAGTCACAAATCCTACCCACGGAAAAAATATAGGGTTAGTGTGACACAAAGGACCATTGATGTCAACTGTCAAAGAGTTCACTGTTCTATACAAGCAACTCCTGCCTCAGACCAGACAAACTCACTACACCTGACACACTGCTGTTTCATGGTATTTATCCATAAAGGGAAGCATGTGAAATCTCCACTGAAAGTGTGTATCGATACTCATAACCACCACATGATGTAATATTTCAGGAATAATGTAACTACTGTATATACTTGTTCATAAGCCAAATATTTTTGGTAAAAAAGTGATGCATCAAAGAGCGGGGATCGGCTTATAAACGGGTCTACACCAAAATGTGATGATTTTAAACTCTATGGAATCATTGAATTGAATATCTAATACATCGTCGTTTTGTTTACCTGGAGCGTCTGCAGGTATGGAGCCCCTCAGCTCCCTGTGGCCGCGGTTCGCGCCACTTCCTGCAGCTCCCATTGGCTGGGAATGGCGAACTGCGGTCACAGGGAGCTGAGGGGCTCCATGCCTGCAGACACTCCAAATAAACAAAACGTCCCAACCCGCCAGTGGCTTACCTTGATGGGCCGGGAGCCAAAGTTTTCCAACCCCTGAAATATAGGGTTAGCTTATTAAAGGGTCATACCGTTTTTGCTATTTTTACCTATCCATTTTGGGGGGTCGGCTTATAAATGAACGGGCTAATGAACGAGTATATACGGTATATTGAAAATATGGTCTCAGGGTTATGAAGTGAGAGTGAATTAAAAGGCAATAATATATCTCTGTGACGGCCCATTCAAGCAGGAGGGAGTTGTGCCCATCCCGGGTCAGCTGGTGATATAATGCAAGACTCATTTGTCTACCTTTGCACCAACCCAGAAAAGTCAATGGAAAAAACTATAAACATCAAAGTCATTTGGAAGTGAAAAGGAATGATATGACAGAGAGGAGAATCGCCCTGTCTGGGAATAAAGACACAAACTAGTTCAGTGTATCTCAGGGTGGAGATAGTCAGTCTGCATCCATTCAGTGAGGAGGTACCCTGATGGGCGGGGCTACTTCATGAAAGACTGGATCAGAGTTCCTTGGGACTAGCACCCACTGCAAAGGACTGAACTTTGGGGAGAGAACCTACTTAATTAGATAGGAAAGGTAACTATTGATAAGAATAGGCCCTAGTTTGTGTTTTAGGATTCTGTATTATATGTAACCCTTTGTGTACATCACTCACCTTTGTTTCTAGTTGAATCTCTGTTCTTCCTTGAATAAATTTCCTTTTGTTTTACAATAACTGAACTCAAGGTCTGTGTGCGATAAAGGAGCCATAAGCTAAGGTTTAACTGGTAAACTGGGGCAGTGCTCTGGCATTTCTATGGGTATCCAGTAATCAGGGATGGGACACCTTAGGGGGACACTTTGAGCTGACTTGGGGGCTGGAGTGCATCTGTTGTCAACCTGCAGTGCAAAGTGCAAAGAGCAGAGTGCTTGCATGACAGAGAGGCTGGTTGTATTAGGGAGTTAACACCCAGCTAGTACAGGCAAGTCTCCTTTGCTCTGGAGGCAGATAGTGACAAGGTAACTCACAGCCCTGGGTGTCCTGAGAAGAAACAAAGTGAAGGCACAGCTGCTATGCAATGTTCCTGGGGAAGAAGTGACATTTCATGGGAACAGATGGGAAAATGTAAGCAGAGGCCCCTTGTAAAATTGCAAGGATCTCCATGCATCACTGGATTTCATGACTCTGTGACAGCAGCAATGTTAGACCACTATCGCATTGCTAAGCATACACAGCTACATCTCTAAGGATGGAGATTGAGGGGTGTGTGTGTGAGACTGGGTATCAAACTGATACCAGAGACTGGGTATCAAACCCCAGACATAGCATGTGGTCCTGCTCTGGGTGGATGATAGTGGAACAGTGTTATTGTGCTGGCTGAGTGAAGAGGTGGTTTCTGATGCTCACGCAGTCAGCCACTCTAGGGTGTGGCTCCTCCCACTCAGACTCAGGTGGCGGTTCAGGGATGTGCCTGATTTTACTGTTTCTGCCCAGCAGCAGGGAGGAAGCTGCCCAGATCCTGCTCCCACAAATGTATAGACATGGTTGTGCCTGTGACTTATTCCAGGGAACTTGCCTGATAGTGCTAGTTTGACAGCCACCATATTGAACACGAGGGACTGAAATGGTGACCTCCAGAGCTAAAATCAGGAGCAGGGGCGGCTCTAGGCACCAGCAAAGCAAGCAGGTGCTTGGGGCAGCCCATTTGCAGGGGCGGCAGCCAGCAGGGATCCAGCATGGGAGCTGAGAACCAACAGAGAGCCCTGGGAGCTGTAGTTCCTTGGTTAGCTCCCTGCCCATAGAGCCAGCCCTGGGCAGGGAAAGAACTACATTTCCCAGCATTCCCTTGGCTGCTATCCACAGGAAAGGGAGGGGGAGGTAGGTAGGTAGTTGAAACCTCATGCTGCAGCTTGCTGTGAATGGAGAGCTCACTGCTAGAGCGGGGTGGCACTGTGAATGGGGAACAAGTATGCCCAAGGAGTAGAAGGCTTTGCCCCAGAGATCCCCTTCAGAAGACATCCCCAGCCTGGATTAGGGATACTGCTGTGACCTCACCTTACAGCCTCCAAAGAAAGAATTGGGTGGACTAAATGGACAGTGCCCCTCTCTATCTGAAGCCTAGCAAGGGAGGTACGTGGATCCCACTAGAATTTAAAATGAAAAGTAAGGGAGGGGAGGCTCTGGACCTGGGCAGCTTTAGATACAGTACCAGGCACTTAGGAGGATTTCCACTTCTGAGCCATGGAAGCAGAAATTGACTTTTCCTTTCCAGATTTAGCTAATATTCAGAAAGGGAATCTAGCACCTGCCTTCCAGATTTGAACACCCCCAAATCAAATATACTGATCCACTGTAACTTGCTGTAGAAAAAGTAGGATAAAATTGAGCAAGAAATGCTTCCCAGTGGTTATTAGGAGTGGAATTGCTATTTTCAACAGCCATTGCCATTTTTTTTTAATTTTTTTTTTTTAAGTTTTATTTGTTTAAAAGGAAGACAGTAATATTGCACTGGCAAATTTTCCCATAAAAACAAAGAGTGGAACAAAAAAATAATAAAGGCACCTCAACTTTTCCTCATTTATGGAGGACAGTCTTATAATATGCATCCAGATATCTTCCAATCACACAAGCTGAAAATTGTTCCACTTTACTGCAGTTCTGTAACCATATGGGAACCAATCCTGTCTGTGTTCTGTGCACATCCAAAATTCCTGCTGAATGACCCACCCTGGGAGCGAGTTACCAGTGACTTAGGGCTGGGGGTCCAGGGGGGAGCCCAGAGCTGGGGCAGCAGGGGATGCGGGTGTGGGGGGAGAGCCCAGGGCTGGGGCGACAGGGGGGAGCTCAGGGCTGGGGCGGCAGGGGGGGCGGGGGGGGGGGGGGCCCAGGGCGGGGGCGGCGGGGGGGGGGGGGGGGGAGCCGAGGGCGGGGGGGGGGGGCAGCCAAACATTGTTTTGCTTGGGGCGGCAAAAAACCTAGAGCCGGCCCTGATCAGGAGCTGTTACAGTTTGAACTAAGCCTCTTTATCTGGGGCTATGGCAGATTGATATCCTCTGTGGGATGGGCATTGAAGAGGAGCTGTAGCACATCTTTACCAGTGGGTTACACTAACACACCAATGAGTAGGCTGTAAAGTATCCTAACAGCACCCACCACAGGCAGAGCCCCAGCAAGTCTGTATCTTTCTTACCCCTTGGCATCACTTGTCTAATCTGACTAGTCATGATCTGAGGAAACGGCTCCTTACCCAGTGAGATCAGTGTCTCATAATTGTCCTGCATGACGTCCCTGTAGAGGGCTTTCTCACCAGGGTCCAGAAGAGCCCATTCCTCCTTGGAGAAATACACAGCCACCTCTCTGAAGGTCACGAGTTCCTGAAACAACAACTACTAGTACTCTGCTCCAATGAAAACCCCACCAGGTCAGTCACAGGCCCCAGATTGTTCCCTTTGCCCCAGTCTCCAATATGTTGTGTCCTTAAACAACATTTGCAATTGTTCTTCCAAACTGGTCTCTTATTCCTAGTGGTGCCACTTATCACAGATGGCATTATGCCCTTCAAAGACCTGCTGCTCTCCCCTACTTTACAGGAATCAGGCCATGAAACTGTCACCATAGGAATATTGCTCTTTGCTTCCCATCCTCTCACCTCCCTGCTAGAGCTGCTCAGAAAATGGCACTTCCATCCTGTGGGAGATCCCGATAATTAAAACATTTCTTTTCACTGGGGTGAACTTTGAAATAGCCAAAGGTTGGGAGCAAAGAAAAGTTTAGAAAAAAAATCTATTTGGAAATGTTGAAATGAAATGTCTTCCTGTTGATTATCCCAACATAAAATGTAAAAAATTTTTTTTTTAAAAATCAGCATTTCCTCACAGAGAACTTCATTTTTAACTGAACTACCTATTTGATGGGAAAATCCAACCAGCTCATCTGCTTCCCCTTGTCAGTTACAGCGCCCACATTTAGATCTCCACACAGCTGAGAGGTTCAGCCAGAAATTCACCCATGACTGGAAACCATCGCAGAGGCCCCTGTCCTGCACAGAGAGGCAAGATGCTGCTTCTTGGGCAGTAGCTCCAGGGCACTTTAGAGGGTTAGCTCCTGTCCCACAGATGGGGAATTTTCCATCCCAGCCCAATGCACCTATTCTTAAAACCAAGACCATATTAAATGCGCCTACTAGCTTTTAGCCCAGTCACACCTGTGTATTTAGTGTATCTCCTCTCCCTGATCTATCAGAGGAATCCCTGAAAATCTCCTACCTGTTCCAGCTCCACTGCAGCCATTTCCCTTCCCCTGGCAGAATTAAGTGATGTGGAGCAAAACACGGATGTTATTCTGCAGCCTGTCAGGGTGAGAACGGCGATTGGGGAGGTTTCAGAAAGGGCTTTGGTTCTTTTCACACTCCGCTTCCCCCAGACTCTCTCCCTGCATATGCTTTAAGTTCTGCCAGGTTGAGAAAACAGTTGGTCACTTTATTTCAGCAGACAAGTTCTAAACCATCCACCTCAGGGGTTATTGAAGGAGTTTAAAAAGGAACTAGATAAATTCATGGAGGCTAGGTCCATCAATGGCTATTAGCCAGGATGGGCAGGGATGGTGTCCCTCCCTAGCCTCTGTTTGCCAGAAGCTGGGAATGGGTGACAGGGAATGGATCACTTGAAGATAGCCTGTTCAAAGCCAGGGGAGCAGAGTGGAGCAGGCTGGGGCCGGGTCACGCCATTTCCCGCCGCCCCGTGAGTGCGGGTTGGGTGGCAGGAAGTGTAGCGAGCTGGCCCCAACCCGCTCTGCCGGCTTGTGCTGGGGGGCAGTTTCCCTTCTGCCCCCCAAGCCTGGGGAGAAGATGGAGCGGTGGGGAAGGGGCATGGGATGGGGAAGAGAAGGGGATAGGGGAAGCGGAGGCAGGGGGGAAGGGAAGTGGGGATGAAGGTGGTGGAGTTGGGAGGAGATGGGGCAGTGGGGAAGGGGCATGGGATTGGGAAGAGAAGGGGGTGGGAGTAGGGGGGAAGAGGCAGTGGGGAAGGAAGGGGTGGGATGGGAAGAAGATGGAGTGGTGGGGAAGGGGCATGGGATGGGGAAGAGAAGGGGTTAGGGGAAGCGGGGGCCCAGCATGCAGATCCCCTTGGCAGAAGCTAGGGCTCCCCTGTTAAGCAGGCCCATCAAACCCTCACCCTGACAAGCCCCACCTCCCCTGCATCTGTACCACCCTGATGAGCCCAAACCACCTACACCTGGACCCCCACCCAAATGAACCCCACCTCTCCTGCACTCAGACACCCCTCTGCTGAGCTCCAACCACTTTCACTTGGTCCCTCCTGGAGACTCCCATTGCCCCTGCACCTGGAACCTCCCTGTGCATCCAGATCCCCCACTGAGCTGCCTGCACCCAGACTGCCCCACACTGAACCCTCTTACCCCCATCTGGATCCCCCCACACTAAGTCCCTCTGCACTTGGATCCTGCTGCCAGGCTGAGCCTCCCTGCTCACATCTGGTGTGCCTGGTGCAAAAGGGGCAGGGCCCCAGGGTGTTTCTGTGGCAGGAATGGCCCTTGTGCAGTGTCAGGTTCAGCCTCACTGCCAAGTCCCTGTCCCGGGGGGGCTGGGGAGGCTGTACGGTATTCTCCCACCTCCATGCAGTCAGTGGCCTGTGCTCCCCACTGCCATGGTGGAGCTCCCACACTTATTGATTGTAAAAAAAAATAATTGCAAAATTTTAAAATATTATGCACAGAATTTGATTCCCTCAGGAATATGGGGCACTGTACAGCTGTGATGGTGGGACTGTGAAGGGGGTGCTGGACAGTAGGGGATCTGTGGGTGGGGTAGCTGGGCAGGGGGTATTGTGTGCAGGGTGCTGTGCAGTTGTGGGAGGGGTCTCTGGGCAGGGGGCGCTGGGCATAGAGATCTGTGGGGGAGGTCTCTGGGCGAGGGGGCACTGGACATAAGGGGAGGGCATTGGGCAGTGTGGAAGGGGCACGCTGGCAGTGCAGGGCTGGGCAGGCCAGTGTGCATCTAGCAGTTGTGGGTTTGTAAACAGTGCCCTTGTGCTGGGCTGAGTGGGGCCACTACCGCTGCACTGCGCCTCATTGCCCCCAACCGGCCCCTCCCTCTGTGGATCGCACTCCATCACATGCCCTATTTCCCCAATGGGGGCCCACAAATATGATTAATGCTGGGCCCACAAAAAGTTAATCGGGCCCTGGGAGCTGGGAATCTCCCTCCCCACTGATTGCTCCTGTTGGCCCTTCAAGTCTCTGCCCCTGTCTCCCTCCCGCCCCCTCCCCTCGGCCTGGGAGACTCGGTCCCTGTTCCGGCCCGGGGCGTTCGCTCTCCCGGAGCTGGCTCGGCTCCTGCAGGCGCCCGGGGGGGCGGGGGGGGGGGGGGTCAGGGAGGGCAGCAGCTCTGGGACTCGCAGCCCCCCCCTCTCCCTCCGGGAGCGGAGCTGGGGCGAGGAGGGGCCGTTGGTGCAGAGTCACTTTCCTGCCCGGCCCCAGCCCTTTTCCCCGGGTCTCTCCCCTCACCTGCAGGCTCCGGCTCAGGGGCTGGTGTCGGCAGAGCCGGGGGCTGCCCCAGGTGCCTCCCCTGCTGGGCACAGAGGGGGTCTGGGCAGCAGCTGAGCTTATCAGTCCAGGCTTCCTTCCGGGTCGCAATGGAGGCACTCAGCAGCAGCGTCTGACTCAGGAAGCTCAACTCCGGTATGCTGAGTAGACAGAGCGAGCCACATCCCCTTTCATTAGCAACAGTCCATGTAACTAAGCAGGCAGGGCTGCAAGGAACAAGGATTTATTACACATATGGTGAGAGACCGTGTTCCAAGCTCATCCTTGACTGTTCCTCCCCATGCAGCAATATCGGGTAGCCCCCCCAAGCTAACATCCTCCCACCCCAGAGTCTGTAGACCATCATCACTATATACCTTGCTGGAACCTGCTCCTCTTTCTCTGCTCCCACTCATCATACAACATTTTTTCCACTTTACAAACTCATTTATATTTAATTAGCTAATTTGGAAGCCAACAAAACATCCATCCACCCATAGGGCAGATGGGTTCCAGTCCTTAGCCTAGCTGGAGTTGCTTCTGATGGTACACAATCTACTCTGACACTTTTAGGCTTTGTCTAGATGAGGGTTTTGAAGGTGTTAGCTAACACGTGTTAACAGAGTAATGCAGACAAGGCAGTGTGCTTCCCTAATCGCTGACAACCAGCCTTGTGAGGGTTGCTCCATAAGAGAAGGGGGAGCAAGTTAAAGCAAGGTGCCAAAGGGACATTTGTCCCCTGGCTATTCACCCCAGCAGGTGGGGAAACTGAGGCAAAGGACTACTGCCCAAGGCACTGCAGGGGTGGCTGTTGTACTTATTAATTCATATAAATATATGGTTGATTTATTGTTGTGTATTCCTAAATTAACACTGTGTTCTGTTTCCCCTTAATGTCGTTTTCTTTGTTTTATACATAGACTCAGTGCTTGCCAAAGCAAAGCTAAGGGTGCCCAGGGAGATATTTTGTTTTCCCAAGTTTCTGGGTGAGGGCTTGAGTCATTGTGTTGGTTATTTTTAAGAAGAAACACTATATATTTGAATACAGCTTATATCACCAGGCAGAAGGGTTACATTTTGTGCCTTAAAAGCACACTGCCTTGTCTACACTAACACCTTCCAAATCTTCAGGTCTGTCTACGCTGCAGCAGGAGGTATGATTTGAAGCTTGTGCAGACATGCTCTAGTTTTAATCAGGTTAGCTTGCTAAAGATTGCAATGAGGACATGGCAGCGGGGGCTACATTAGCGGATATATACCTGGGGCAGCTTGTGCGGAACCCCACACCGCTGTATCCACGCTACACCATTTTTAGTGAGGTAGCTAGGTACTTATACCGCCTCCAGTACTGCAGTAGCTGAGCAGCTCACAGTCTTTAATACATGTGTCTTCATAAGGTTGTGAGGTAGGGAAGTACTATTATCCTTGTGTTACAAATGGGGAGCTGAAACACTGGGAAATTAATGCCCAGATCCTCAATGGCATTTAGGTATCAAACTCCTACTGAAATCTGCAGGAGGCCAATGATTTCAATGTGAGTTAGGCACCTATATACCTTTGAAGACCTGGGCCAAAGTGATTTATCCAAGTTTGCACAGGCAGCCCGTGGTGGAGCAGGTGGAGGGTCCTAAGCTAATGCTCTAATCACTGGACCCTCCTTCCTTTCTCATTCTCAGCAGCTATTCTGCCAATACTTAGGCATCTTCTGATCTTTGAGCACCTGCATAGTGCCTGCTATTTAAAGTGTATAAGATCGAGGTCTTCAGTACCCACATGATGTTAGCTGGAGTACAAGGCAGTTCAGTGACTTAGTTTTGTGGCTTCATATACAGCAAATTAGGGAACTGATGTTCTCAAACCTCTTTCCCATGAGATGGGCAGTGATGGCATCCAGATGCTTTTGCAGCCTAGATGAGAGTCAGCAGAAAGAGGAATCACGTGGGTGTTGGGCTTTGATGACCAAGTTCCAGGGGACAAATGCAAGAAGCCTGGGAAACAAGCAGGGAGAACTGGAAGTCCTGGCACAGTCAAGGATGATGTGATTGGAATGACAAAGACTTGGTGGGATAACTCACATTACTGGAGTACTGTCATGGATGCATATAAACTGTTTAGGAAGGACAGGCAGGGCAGAAAAGGTGGGGGAGTTGCATTGTATGTAAGAGAGCAGTATGGCTGCTCAGAGCTCCAGTATGAAACTGCAGAAAAACCTGAGTGTCTCTGGATTAAGTTTAGAAGTGTGAGCAACAAGGGTAGTGTCGTGGTGGGAGTCTGCTATAGACCACAAGACCAGGGGGATGAGGTGGACAAGGCTTTCTTCCGGCAACTAACAGAAGTTACTAGATCACAGGCCCTGGTTCTCATGGGGGACTTCAATCACCCCAATATCTGCTGGGAGAGCAATACAGTGGTGCACAGACAATCCAGGACGTTTTTGGAAAGTAGAGGACAATTTCCTGGTGCAAGTGCTGGAGGAACCAACTAGGGACAGAGCTCTTCTTGACCTGCTGCTCACAAACAGGGAAGAATTAGTAGGGGAAGCAAAAGTGGATGGAACCTGGGAGGCTGTGACCATGAGATGGTCGAGTTCAGGATCCTGACACAAGGAAGAAAGGAGAGCAGCAGAATACGGACCCTGGACTTCAGAAAAGCAGACTTTGACTCCTTCAGGGAACTGATGGGCAGGATCCCCTGGGAGAATAACATGAGGGGGAAAGGAGTCCAGGAGAGCTGGCTGTATTTTAAAGAATCCTTATTGAGGTTGCAGGAACAAACCATCCCGATGTATAGAAAGAATAGTAAATATGGCAGGCGACCAGCTTGGCTTAACAGTGAAATCCTTGCTGATCTTAAACACAAAAATGAAGCTTATAAGAAGTGGAAGATTGGACAAATGACCAGGAAGGAGTATAAAAATATTGCTCAGGCATGCAGGAGTGAGATCAGGAAGGCCAAATCACACTTGGAGTTGCAGCTAGCAAGAGATG